CTCTCCACGAACAGATGGACAGAATCAAAGCAGTAACAGTCGTTACGAATCAATGGCAGAGTTGAGTCCTCGAACTATGCGTGCACTGCTTGGATAACTCACACAAGATGTCGTTGAACAGGTAAATCTACGAAGTATTCATAATATGGAAAGATTTACCCAGAATGGGAATGCACATTCTGACAACATGGCCAAACAACTGAATACTTTGGACGAAATAATGAATAAGTTAGTAGGCCAAATTTGTCAGTCAGTTGTGCCTCTTGCAAACCACTTTCAAGTTAGGACAATTGTGGGACATAATCCCCCAGTCCTAAGTTTAAATCAAGGGGTAGTACCACCTTTCGACCCCTCTACTTCAAACCAGGGGGTGGTGTAATACCAAATCAGAATAGTGACGTTGGTACATCTAACTTGGGGAGTAACCTAAATGTAAGAGATAATGTCCTAAATAATGGGCAGAATACCCCACGTGTTAATGATGGAATAAATGTTCAGGCCAATAGTAACAATAGCCCAAATCATGGTAACTTTGTTGCCAATCAAGGACCAAACATCAGGCCTCAAGCAAATCAACCGATCAACCAACCTGTAGGAATTCCATATGACCCCAACGTCATGTTGAGAAATCAGATTATGGAAATCGTACAAGACTAGATGGCTTTTGAAGTACGTCCTGTCATTAGGCCGACTTACACAAAGTCATATCCTGATTGGGTAGACCAATCATATCCATGGCCTAGAGGCTATAAAGTACCAGAATTCTCATTGTTTACCAATTTAGGAGAGGTGTCTACTTTAGAACACATAGGGCGATTCACACTGCAAAGTGGTGACGTAACTGATTACCATAAAATGAGGCTGTTCCCTAATTCATTAACAGGAGTAGCCTTTTCCTGGTTCATCAATTTGCCAGCAAACTCTGTCCAAACTTGGCAACAATTGGAGCAATTGTTCCATGCTCAGTTTTATAAGACTGAGTTTGAAATTATTTTGGCCGATTTGGTGAATCTACATCAACTGCCAAATGAATGGGCAGAAGGTTTCCTTCAAAGGTTCAAGATGGCAAAAAGTAAATGTTTTGTACCTTTGCCCGAAAAGGAGTTTGTCAAAATCGCTCAAAGTTGCTTAAGCTTTGATTTGAAAAAGAAATTTCAAGACAATGAATTTCCTAATCTTTTCCAATTGAGCGCGAACGTGATTAAGTATGAACGATTAATAAGAGAAGAAGAACAAATGAAAAATTCTAGTAAAGGGACTTATTATAGAGACCCAAATTTTGATGTTCATACTATTAACGATGAGTATTACGATCAAACCGAAATGTGTTTGGCCGAATTAGTTAAAGGAGACACATATACTTTTCCTATAATGGCTAAAACTAGACCGTCAGGCAGGGATGAGGCTATAAAAAGTGAAAACATAAAGGCTAGAACATTCTCGTTCGATGTAACCAAAGCTGACCTTATATTTGATAAATTATATAAGGATAAGCAGATAAAGTTGAGCGATAAGCATAAATTGCTAAGCCCTGAACAAATTAAGGGTAAAAAATATTGTAAGTGGTATAATGCATGGTCATATTTAACTAACAATTGCTTGGTTTTTCTCCATGTGTTACAGGATGCCATTGAATCAGGACGAATTACATTCGAGGATAAGAAGAAGATGGCAGTGGATGAAAACCCTTTTCCACAGTCACTGGGAGTGAACATGGTGACATCTGATTTCAAAAACAAATTGCCAAAATTCAAGTTGGTTATATATGATGGTGAAGAAGACCCTGGACCACATCTCAGTGTCTTTGAACTTATCAAACGGAAAGAGCCCAAAAAGGATGAAGACGTCCTATGTGCAAGATGCAAAAAAGAAGTTAGTGCAAATGCACTGAAATCAGGATATGACAGTATCATCATCGCCCTAGTTTTTTTCCAAACGCTCAGCTTGGTAGAGGGCAGGGAACATCGTTCTATAAGGGACCGCTTTTTGAGAGGCAGTTCAGGCCAGTAAATAATGGGAAAACATTCAGACCGCAACCTCGCCAACCAAATGTATGGCATTCATTCCAGTATGAGGCTGGAGCGGCGATACCTTTCAATGAGATGACTAGAACCCAACAAAGGCATTTTCAACGGAACTACAGGCAAATGATGAGGCAACAACAGGGAATGCTACGTCCTAAGGCACCTAGACTATTCGAAGCTGCCAATCAGAATGTTCTCAAAGACAGTGAAGAGACTGGTACAGGCGAACCTATGGAAGAATTACCAGAGACTTCTTCAGGGAGGTCGAAGTTTGAGCGAGACAGAGGGGTGGAGAAGATCCAGATCAACCCCTCACTATCCAATTTGGTACGTTACCTCCTGTCATGGCTAATAACTATTTACTAGCCAATGAGTTCAAGAACAAAGAGAAAGGAGAAGAAGAAAAGGAGGATAACGAAGAGGAAACATGCATGCTGGAATATGAAGAAGACCAAACTTCTAGAGAGGCCTACAATGGTGAAGAAGATGATGGTATGACAGACATCGAAGAGAAAATCGATCTGGAAGCAGAAAGGAGAAGAAGAGGAGTATCGTACAATACTCTGTTGAAGCAATTACATCGAGAGGGAGTTCATGAAGTAGACTTGTTGGGAGAACCATCTGGGCGTTCTTTCGATTTTTACGTGCTGTACGGGACGCCCAAAAGGAAGAAGAGAGTC